CGTCGTTTTTCTGAACGATATCATCAGCACAAACTTCAGATAGAAGTGAAGTGTTCGAATTTCTCCACATGTGCAAAATTGCATGTAGACATTTGGTGAGGACACACAATCAACTAAGAAAATCTGGAAATTTTGATTATAGGCAATTCCAAAAATGGAAGATGGTCGCGCAATCTCGTTGATTGGTTGATCTGAGACATTAACACCATTGTATGCCGGCTTAGTGGTTCAGTAGGTTAAACGTTCGCGCGCGAGACTGAAGGCCGTGGGTTGGAATCCCGCGAACGGGATCGTGGATGCGTACTGCTGAGGAGTCTTACAATAGGACGAAACGGCTATCCAGTGCTTCCAGGTTTTCCATGGTGGTCTAACATCAATCAATTCATGATCTCAATCAAAAAGTTAACAATCTTCAAAACCCCTAAATCGATAATTCCGAAAACATCAAAGAATTTTCATAAGTTTGGTACTCAGGTCAATCGTCAATCAACAAGCACATTAAAATTAAGACAATTAATGAACATGTTGTAAATGTAGTATTGCAGTATGGTTTTTCTATTTGATCATGTAACTCTGTAGTCGGTTATTCTCATCTGTATTCTTATTCACTGCACTTCCACTTTGATTTCTCATTTTATGGTTTGATATTTCTTGATATATCTGCATATGTACTATGTTTGCTTGAAATATACTATTCGTTGGGACTGACTACTGATTCTTGACTCAAAGCTGAGTATAGGAAAGACCTAACGTGTAGTGGACTAACAAGAACTTAGATGTCAGTTTATGGTCACTAGGACTGGTTGAGGTGTCATCAGTTAAGTCAAGAGCACTAAGCTATAGAGGAAATAACACGTGATATTGGACAGCAGTTTCAAGACATAACAATCTGATAAGTTTGGTTAATTTCAACGAAGAATATTGATCATCGAATGAAATAAATGCTAAGCTTCGAGAAATGATCTATTCTTCTTTAAGTTGCTTCTCAATGTGAGTTCAAGGTTTTCCCAGACTAACGTACGTCTTACAATCATTCATATAACAATTACAATAAAGTTCCGAAGAAACGAAAATACGATCGTAGATAACAATCAAATTTCTGAATCATACAGTGAATATCCATCGGTTGTCTCAGATTTGAATGTTCTTTCGTTTTCACACCAATCACTTTCTGTCCTCATTCATGTTCTCTTTGACATTGGTAGCACATATCAAAATGAGAGCACAAATACTGATACTCAGAATTTGCTTGATCCTAGAACTAAATCAACCTGATATCTGAATACATTTCCTTTTATATGATTTATTTAGTCAAGCTAATATTAAGTCTTCTATAATTTGAATTCAGTAGTTTTAGTAAGCCCACGTACACAAACATGCCTTCTATCTTTAGTTGTTGTGGCCAGTTTTGATAGTCAATCAGTCAGTTAACAGCGTAGAACTTCGTACGTACGTACATCAGTTCGAGTTGCCATACCACATTAGCACACAGACACAATCGTCAATTCAAGTGCACTTGTAGTGGAGGTAGTAAAAGTATAAGCAATAATCGGAAACATTAGGGTTTGGAGATGTTATTCACGGAGTATTATCCAGTGTAATAAATTTGAAAGGAGGAAAAAAATAGAGGACATGAAGAATTGAGAAGATAAGAATTTGGGTGAACACAAAGAGTAGATGCACTTGCGCCATTGCAAACGATTTTGAGCCATGTCACATTCAAGATCTCTAACCATCGATTGCTATCGTTTCGCGGATCCCAACCAGGTAGTTAGTCTATACCTACCAACATGGCTTAGTCCACTTATCAGTGACTTCATGGATTTGTGCCATGTTTTGATCTGGCCGCTCCTAACATAATTCCAGCCTACTTCAACAGCATGAAACATTGATCCAGTTTTGATAAGTATTATATGAGTGCAGTATCAGTTGTCATCTTGATTTTATGTTTATTTCGCTACTTACTTACTTATTACTTACATGTTTATATAAACTTTTGTATGATCGACATAATTCTTGACGTTCATAATTTGTTCTACGTGCCAATATGTTGATAATTGCTGTTTCATCTGTGCCTTAAAATAGAAATGGAATATTGAAATGTATTAATTAAAAACAAACTAATATGTATAACTAGTTCGGTAGCTTGAAAATAAGTAAGCTTTTAGCGGAGTTTCGTAGTCTAAGATGTAGGGTTCAGTTGTTAGATCTTCATTGTTCTTCTGAACAATTACAGACAACAACTGGTTAGAGTTCGATGACAGTAAATCGAGATTAAGGTCGTCAAGACATGCAGTCAATCATATTTTATGGAATTTGAACACCCCACGTCTACTTGAAGTTTGTGGTAGCGATGTTGTTCAGGAGAACATTGAAATCTTCACGATTAAACCAGATGGTTTGGAGAACGAGACAACTATTAGAAACCTAGTGGCGCTGGATAAATGTTCTGTGATAGTATAGAACTCCTTAGCGGAGCCCAACCACCACTCCGCCATCGAGAATGGAACCCAGGGCACTTAGTCTTGTGTTCGAACGCTTAACGTATGAACTACTAAGTCAAGGTCCAGTTGTGTACAAACCTATTTCCAATCAGTTCACGATAATGTGCGGCCATCTAATATATTGGGTAGGTGCCTTCAGCATACCCGAAACAGTTAAACTGGAAATGAAACTGCGAAAAATTACGTTAACACATTTTAGCTACTTATAAGTAGCTAATCATTCGTCATGAATAGTAGCTAAAGTAAATGAGTAATTTGTGGAATATCAGAGAACTAGAATTAGAGTCAACTGCACCTCTTCAAGTAAATAAAATCCAATTGGATAAACAATTGATGTTCACTCCAGAACTTAAGTCCGTTGCCGTTTATTTCAAACGACATCGTGCTATCCTCTTAACAACCGAAACTAAATAACTACCCACTTCCTAATATTGTTTAGGATTCCAGTTGATCAGTCTCTTGTTGGCATGTGTGTATCCTATACGGATTGCCTCGATTTTACTATATAATCACAAGCATTATAGATAGGGCTAGATGATGGTTAGAAATGGGCACCCCAAATGGGGCGAAATTAGCGTCCTGGATTCCCTAAAAATTAGGTCTTTCAACAAGCCATAAATGATTTGTTGCATATTATTTCTGTTTGGCTTCCATGATGTTTGTAAACATAGATTTCGAAAATTCAACACAATAAAGTTTTGTGACGTTAAGCTGAGAATAGTGTAATAAGTTCATGACGATAATAGATGACTGGCTTCAAGAGGTATATTCTGGGGTTCTAGTGAGAAGCAGGTCTGTTGTGAGATAGTAACTCACTGATGACAATGGAGGATGTGTCAGTCGATTTCGTAAATTGGTTGAGGTTAGACATTAATACAGTTGACTGCCGGCCAGCTCAGTGGTCTAGAGTTTAGGCGTTCGCTCTCGAGACTAATGGATCCTGGGTTCGAATATCGAGAGGCGGGACAGTGGGTGCCCAGTGATGAGGAGTCCTACAATAAGACGAAACGGCCATTTAATGCCTTCAGGTTTTCCACGGTGTTTTAGCTTCAACTGACTTATGATCTAAACTATCGAAAAGGTAAAAGGCGGTAAATTTTTTCGCAAATCATGTTCTACACAGTAACTAACATTAGAATGAGTTGTCTTCCTGTATCATTTATTCATATGCAATGATTGGTCAAAATGGTTCTGTTATATCCAGATGATGAAAAAGTAAATAGTAACCGTTAGGATCTATTTGTGGACTTTTATTTTATATATAATTATTATACAACTATTTCTAATTTATTTATTTATTTGGACACATAAATGTTGGTACAAGAGGGCACCGAATACATATACACCACACATATCATTCGATTTGTGTGTGGGCTATGATACTGCCCACGTCCCCAAACCGAAGCACATCACTTTCTCAAGGAGCTACACTCAGACCCTTCGATCTAAAGGTGTGATCCACAAAGCAGTGGAACAACGTCAGGAGATACAGTCACATGGTAGTTGCTAACCAACAATTGGTTCATACTCCATTTGTTCCCTCATGATCCTGTACTCCATGTGCACCATTGATTTGGAATGAGAGTTTTTCAACTTCCGCATGTGGACTCTCCGTATCCACCAATTCAGTTAAAGCGTTGGACATTCGGTTTTCGTCCTCTCAATTTCGTAAGCAACACCCATGTTTCGAGAAGTAGTGAGTGGGACTTCTCTGACAGTGGTTGTATACGCGTGGTCATATGAGAGCCTTTGGAGAGGGAGAGCGGACTCTTCCTACTCTCACCTGTACCAGAGCATTTAGGGGCTATAACTATTACGTAACTATATTACGTGTATATTCATATTTCTCTTATCATAAGCTTCCATTTGATTGATTGACTATTATGATACGATTTACCATTCTTAATTTATTCTTAATTCATTAGTAACAGTCTTTTACAATCACAGCCACTTTTGATTTGATCTTCTATTTTGCTTAAATATAAACTTCATATCTTTGAAATATATGATTCTTATAGCAAAGGCTCAACTAAGTGTTCTGGACTCAATTGACTTGATTAAACAAGAAGTTACTTATCTTGAAAGATCAATAAGAGCTCAGAGTTGAATCTAGTCTGCTCATATTGGTTTATTATAGAATATTTGGTCTGTTCATTCAATCAATCATTGTGTTATAATTAACAATCTTATAACATGCTATTTCAATAGGTCATAAGAATATAACAGATTCTTTTCATGATCAACTTTGAGTAACTTTTAACTTAGAAATGGGTATCTTCTATAGAATCATTCATAGATGGATTACTATATAGTTCTACAATTGAAACTTCATGCCAATAGAGACTTTTCAAGAATGTGATTTTATTGATGTTCTTGCAATACATAACTTTATGAAACACACAGAGAGAAAGAGAGAGAGAGAAAGGGAGGAGAGAGAGACCAGTTCATAATGCAAGTTAGAACTGGTAATAAGTAAAGAGTATAAATAAATATAGTCTATTCACTATGGTAACTAGTTAATTAATTAAAGTAAACTGGTTATTTGGTTAAATAACCAAGTTGCCAAGATACTGAACATTGTAATTTCAATGTATTTTAATTACTCAACAATATGATAAATATTTCAAAAGCTTAATGAATTATTTATTGCCTACAATCCTAACCGGTGTTCGGGATGGTTGGAAGAAAGTTAGGGGCGCCCAAACCAAAACGTGGCATCAGTGCTCCAAGTCACTAACTTCTAGTCTGATGTTAGATGTAGAATACTTGGTTGGGGTCCGCGTGACTATCGTAACCAATGGTTGGAGACTCTTGGTGACATGGCTCAGAATCGATCACAATGGCGTCGGTGTATATACTTTCTGTCTTCCCTTAAACTATGAGAATGAAATCCCTTCATATCTTTCTTTCCACGAACTAATTCTTTCTTCCTGTACTATATCCTTATACACAATCTTTCTTCTATATATTACTACCACTTAGGTAACTAATTCTATCAATTTGATGTTTATCTTGTTGTGTTAATGAGGTATGCCAACTTGGACCGATGCATATATGTACCTGGTCCTACGTTGTAGCTGACTGACTATGAATTTATTATGGTTAATTGTTATTCATTATAAATGATTGTATACTCTTATCAATCAATGTTGTGATAAATGTCAAGATTGTAACTTGTTACCTATTGTAGTTAGTTGCCCCTCTCCCAATGCTCTAGTACGGTCGAGAGTGGGGAGAGTCCTCTCTCCCTCTCCAAAGGCTCTCATATGACCACGCGTATACAACCACTGTCAGAGAAGTCCCACTCACTACTTCTCGAAACATGGGTGTTGCTTACGAAATTGAGAGGACGAAAACCGAATGTCCAACGCTTTAACTGAATTGGTGGATACGGAGAGTCCACATGCGGAAGTTGAAAAACTCTCATTCCAAATCAATGGTGCACATGGAGTACAGGATCATGAGGGAACAAATGGAGTATGAACCAATTGTTGGTTAGCAACTACCATGTGACTGTATCTCCTGACGTTGTTCCACTGCTTTGTGGATCACACCTTTAGATCGAAGGGTCTGAGTGTAGCTCCTTGAGAAAGTGATGTGCTTCGGTTTGGGGACGTGGGCAGTATCATAGCCCACACACAAATCGAATGATATGTGTGGTGTATATGTATTCGGTGCCCTCTTGTACCAATATTAATGTGTTAAAATAAATAAATTGTGGTTAGTTACATCGGAATTATGAATTAAGGTTAAGAGTTCACATGCGAGACCGAAGGTTCTGGGCACCATTACCACATATGAGTTTGTGGATGTACACTGCTGAAGACTCTCACACTAAGATGAAACGGCTGTTAAGTGCTTAGAAGTTTTTAATGATTGTCTAACTTAGATCAGTATCTAATTAGTTAATGAGTCATATAAATGACTTTTGTGTTTCTTAAGAATTTCAGAAATATTAACTCTCAGAAGGAAGTATATCCGATAGTTGAAGCTGAAATAGGAAGAAACCTTTTATCCTAAATTCTACATTGAGTCACTGTTCAAATCAATAACATTCTGAGATCTATTTATAGTGACCAGATATTAACGTAGTCTAGTTGACATCATGAGGAAAACCAGACAAATTACATGATAAATGGGAAGGAAATGAAATTGTTGTCAATAATCACTTCTTATATTAATGCTACCTAGGTTGATTCAAATACACATAGAAAGGTTTAAATAGATATTAACACCGTTGGATACCGGTTTAGTGGTCTGGAGATTAAATATTAGCGTATGAGACTGAAGGTCTTTGGTTCGAGTCCAGAGGGCGGGATCGTGAACGCTCACTGATGAGGATTCCCATACTAGGACGAAACGGTCAAAATGCAGACGACCAATATCAGAGCAATGAATTCAGATGTATTAGCAATTAGCCAAAATACGTAAATACAGAATGAGTAAGTTGAATTTTATGAAAAGTGTATAAATCACTGACTATTAATAAGTGGATAGATGAAAAACACATACATATATAGCAGTTGAATTCACGAGTCAGTCTAAGCTAGATCACTATTGAAAACCTGAAAGCATTGAACGGTCGTTTCGTTCTAGTATGGCACTCCTCAGAAGTACACGTCCACGATTATGCAATCACATGCGAGAACGAAGATCTTGGGTTCGAATCCCACGTGCGGGGTCATGAACGCTCACTGCTGTTTACATGTGAAGGAATGGCCTAGCGATGAACCAGTTGAAATAGACACACAGAACTTTAAAGTTTCCTTCAATTTTGACCTTGAACACTGAATCCTTGGAAAAAACAAGCCTTGACTCTATGTCAGCTCATGATGAGAACTCTAATCTTAAATATCTTATCCCTACTTTAAATACTTAACCCCGAATAGCAATCGATTCACTGTTGTTCCAATCTCATCTGTAAATTATATTATCCTCGATCATTGTTTGATAAAACTAAATTACATTGTTAAGCCAAACAAATTCGGGATGGGAAATTTCAGAATTTTCTTAATAATCCCCCCCCCCCACAAATTGCCAGCAGTAATTTGAGTGATAAGGAAATAGATATGACAGTTAAGATGTGTTAGATAGATGACCAATTGTATATTATTCACTATAACAAGTGTACAATCAGTCAGAAGTAGGGATTCGGTCAAGATATCTGATTGCTTACCACTCTGTTACCTACAACATGAAAAGATACTATTTTTAAAGTATCTAGGATGAGAACTAGTTTAAGTGAAGTCCTAACGATTCGAGTGTGTAATATTAAAGGCGAAGGGTTCACTGGAAAACCTGGAAACACTGAATGGCCGTTTCGTCCTAGTATGGGACAGTGAGCATTCACGATCCCGTCCCGCGTGGTTCGAACCCAGGACCCATCAATCTCGCGCGAGTACGCTTAACCTCTAGATCACTGAACCCATGTTCAACGGTGTTAATGTCTAACTTCCAATAGTGTTCCAGTTGACTTGTCTTCTCTGTCATGCTTGTTGGCCAATTAGGTGATAGAGTAGTATTTTCCCCTCTACCTCATTTTGAACTCACACACACTAGCCTCAATTTTAGGCCAGTTAGCCTATCCCGTCAAGGTCTTAATCTAGATATAAAGTAGTTATCCTCAGCATAGAAGTGTGTGAACGGAGCAAGAGCGTAACATCTTCAAACTTTACAGTCCGTTGTAGAAATCCACATGTGAAGTTAAGATGTAATATCATTAGAGATAACCTTTTCTTAATTGTCACTTTATAATGGAAAAACAGGGTCGCTGGAGATTCTGGTTATTCAAGAAAAACACCTCAAAAATTATCAGTATAGGGTTGTGGAGATTATTAAATTCTTGATTGAGATCATGGACTGATTGATGTTAGATCACTATTGAAAATCTGAAAGCACTGGACGGCCGTTCCGTTCTATTGTGAGGCTCCTCAGCAGTGCGTGAGATTCGAACCCAGGACATATCATTCTCGCGCGCGAACGCCTAACCTCTAGACCACTGAGCTGGATGGCATCTAATGGTGTCAGAATATATTATACAATACTTTGTCTCGGTTACATAATATACCTAGACATCAATGTAGAATATATTATAATCGATTTATAATTGTCGTCTTGGTAATTGATAGTTTCAATAGAATAGTAGTAACTAATCTTTTTCTCCCACCCCCTAGAAATGTCCATTTTCTAGTTCATTCACACTAAAAAAAATCTATGTATCATGGAATTCTCATTGGTTATTTATATTCTGTTTGTCTATACAATCAAATTCAAGGATAAACATCAACAATTTATATTCAATGAAACAACTACAATGTTCAAGATTCAATTTAACTTAAATGAATAAAGAGTAACCGACATTTTGAAGTGTTTAATAAAAGTGTGATATTTGACAGTTTTAAGCATTTTCGTTTTCTTTGTCCGTTTAGTATATCATTGTTGTACGTAAGAAAACAGTGGGTAAGACAGGCAGGTGTCAGGAAAGGTTGCTTACTCTCACTCTTTCTCTTTCTTCGGGTGATCGACTAGATTATGAAAAAGTCAACATCTGGGGGGAAAGCATGGGATATAGTGAACAGTTAGGATGCAGCCGAACGATCTAGACTTCACAGATGATGTGGCTCCTCTATCTCACACGCAACAACAAATGCAGGAGAAAACGACCAGTGTAGCAGCAGACTTAGAAGCAGTAGGTCTCAACATCAACAAAGAGAAAAGCAAGATTCTCCGAAACAACACAACATACACCAATCCAATCAAAATTGACGGAGAAGATTTGGAAGATGTAAAGTCCTTTACATATCTGAACAGCATCATTGATGAACACGGGGAGATTTGATGTAGATGTGAGGGCACGGATGGGCAAAGCAAGAACAGCGTATTTACAACTGAAGAACATTTGGAACTCAAAACAACTATCTGTCAACCAACACCAGAGTCAGGATTTTTAATACAAATGTCAAGACAGTTGTACTGGATGGGGCGGAAACTTGGACAACTACGAAAGCCATCATCCAGAAGATATAAGTGTTTATTAACAGTTGTCTACGCAAAATACTTCGGATTTGTTGGCCAGACACTATTGGCAACAACCAACTGTGGGAAAGGACAAGCGAGATCCCAGCAGAGGAAGAAATCAGGAAGAAGCGCTGTAAGTCGATAGGACACATATGGAGGAAAGCACCCAATTGCATCATAAGGCAAGCCCTCACATGGAATCCTAAAGACCAAAGGAGGATAGGAAGACCAACGAACACGTTACGCCGGGAAATGGAGATAGACATAAGTAAAATAAACAAAAATTGAATGGAACTAGACAAGAAGGCTTAGGACTGAGTGGGTTGGAGAATGCTGATCGCAGCCTATGCTCCATCGTGAGTAACGGGCGTAATTAAGTATGTAAGTGTATGCAGCATTGACACACTAAATGAATAGAAAACTACTCGGCCATGCTAGATATCACACTTATATTGACTAAAGTTGGTTATTCACACACACACACACACACAAACAATCAATTTTCAAATAACGACAATATTTTTTTTCTACTAACCTGGACATTTCATAGCTCGATGTAATCGTTCAGCATCAGCTGATGCTGAAAAACCAGTTGTTGGTTTAATTGTTGGTGTGTAATGTTTACCATGTGGATCAAATGCATGAATTAATGAACGTGTTATTCCAAATCTATAGAAATAATGATAACAATAATAATAACATTATTATTGTATTAAGAAAATAAGTTTGACTAAGTGGATAATGTAATGTCATTTGAAGCGAATGGTTCTAGGTCTGAGTCCTGTAGTGAATATCAACTTTGACATGCAGGTACATCCAGTTGATGAGCCTTAGATAGGACGAAACGCGCGAACTGGATTGCATCTTTATTTGAGAGTCATTATTTAATCATTTGAATCAGCTGATGTCAGTCGGTTATGAAGAACATTTTTAATTACCCTCCCTCAAAGATTATTAAAACACAACTATTCGGTATCTTGATTGGTAATAATAGGGTGATGTAAAGGATCACTGATAGTTTTGTAAACCCTGATAGTTACAGTAAGATATTGTACTTGTTAGAGTTCAACTATTTGTGATAAGTAATCTACTGACCATCATGCTACATCATGCAGTAACGGAAGTAGGACTAATTTTCGTTGAAATATCGTGTTTGTCAAAGGAGAGTTTTAATTACAGAGTACATTCATGTATGAGATATTTGGGTCATTACTGAGAAAGACTCTTAAGCGACAATTAAATAGCTGTACAGTATCAATCAGTAACATAACTTAACATCATGATGAAATGATCTTCAAATATTGCTTAACAAAACGAGGTGTACCATTTCACTATTATACAACAATTTATTAGTTAAGATCATGAGTCAATTGAAGCTAGACCACCATGGAAAACCTGAAAGCACTGGATGACCGTTTCGTCCTATTGTGGGACTCCTCAGAAGTGCGCATCTACGACCTCGTACTGCAAGATTCGAACCCAGGACCTATTGGTCTCGCACACGAATGCTTAACTTCTAGATCACTGAATCCATATCCAACGGTGTTAATGTCTAACTTCAACCAATCCATGAAATTCTTAACAGCATATAGTAAAAATGTTTTTAAAAACTTACCCAGAAACAGTGGCCATTTAATAAGTCTTCAGAGTGAACTACAATTTGACAGTCGATTATTATAAGTTGTCTGAAATGAATAAAAAGGTTTTAGTGAAAATGTGAAGTTACAGTATCCATAGGCAAAACACAACAACAACAACAACTACTACTGCTGTAGCTGATCAAACAGAGTTCTGAAGAATAAGTTACATGTTTGTGAATCTGGTTATCAGTGTTCATTGTTTATGCTGTATTATGCATTCTCTCGTAATATTCTATTCGGTTAATGGGGTGATTGTTTCATTTAGGAATAGACTTCCCGTTGAGGATTTCATTTCAAGCTGCCATTTTCAATTTATTGTTCTTTACTTTGAGTGTTAAGATGCATGACAGTGATGCGTTGATGTCTGACGAAATCTCTGCACGGATTCAGAAAAGTCGTTTGGCTTTTGCCAAATTACGTCACCTATGGCGATGGCGAGATTTCTGTCTATCAACAAAAGGATGAGTATACTGTGTAGCAGTTTTGGTTTATTCTAATTTAAGGCTATAAAACCTGGCCATTAGGAGTGGAGTATACTCGTAAGCTACCAGTAATTGATCACAGATGTCTTATAAGTATTACTCGCATCTGCTGGGACCACCTGGTAAGTAATAATGAGGTTAGACACAGGGTATTCGGGAATGATGGTAAATCACTTGATGAAGTTGTGAATCTTCATCGACTGAGATGGTTGGGCCACGTGTTACGTATCCCTGAACACCGATTGCCACGACGCGCAATTCTGACCAGTGTTGGGTTAGGGGTCGGAAGAAAATTAGGGGTGGCCAAACTAAAACGTGGTATCAGTGCTTGAAGTCACTAACTTCTGATCTGAGTCATGTTGGTAGATGCAGACTACTTGGTTGGGGTCCGCGTGACCATCGTAACTAATGTTTGGAGACTGTGGGCGATATGGCTGAGAATCGATCACAATAGCGTCGGTGCATACACTCTTTGTTTCGGGGAATTTTTGCAGATTGTATCATTTTCTTAGTTAAAATCACCAAGTGATGTCATCTAGACTATCGCATCCTCAACGATCCTCTAGCTAAGATCATTTCATGATTTACTTTATGAAAAGTCTACCATCTGAGAAAATTCCCACATAATAACCATGTTTTCATTAGTGACTAGCCTCGAAGTGCAACTTGTGGAGTCCTACTAAGAGGCCATGACCAATAGAGTTCGTCCATGTCAAGTGTGATGAAGTTACTTATTTATTAAAGACACTGGAAGACAATGGTCCTACAACATCGTGAATTGACTGACATAGAATTTCTACACTACTGGATTCTGGCTCAGTGGTCTGGAGGTCATACAAACATCGTTACAAGAAGGCACCAAATAGATACGCGCCACATAAATCATTCGGTTTGTGTGATGCTTAGAATGCTGCACGGGTTCCCGAAGTGGTTGGTTTTCTGAGAAGGTCACTCATCGAGCCTTTGACCTTCAGGTTTAATCTACAAGGCAGTGGAGCAATGTACGCTGATGCACTTTCATAGTAGCCGGTGACCAACAATAGGTTCATACACCGTTTGTTTCTTTAGGATCCTGGATCCCATGTGCACCCTAGGTGGATCCTCCGTATCTAACATCTCAGGTAAAGTGCCAGACATTCACTTTTTGTAAACAACAATTCGGCCGTGAGAAGGCAGTGATTGGGACTTCCCTGTTAGTAGCTGTATGCTCGTGGTCATGTGATATATTTTTGTTGTGAAATGTAAATAAGATTCAAAATCACATATGGATATCACTTAAAGAAACACTGAGACGTCATCCCATTACGCTTAACTACTCGTCAACTCGATGGATTAATGATATTAAAAGATATGGTGAGACTATAATTAATGGACGATCTTTGAGCGACGCTAAACTGACCTTGAGAATGTTCACCTAATAAGTAGGACTAGATAAACATTATAAACCAGGGTGAGGAATTTGAATGATGATTTACAGTTGATCAGGAATCAGAATTAGGGTTTTCATCACGAACTGACATCAGCTAAAATGCCAAGACGCTATTTAGCCGAATGGGTGAGTAATAAATTTCTCGCCGAAATATGACTGGTTCATCCATAAATAATAGTCTTGCCAAAGATATATATCTAATCAAGGACCTTCAATGTTCTTAATGAACACTATGCTAATCAGTTCACTGATACTACAGTATTCGTTTTCATTTCATACAATGAATGAGGTACTAATTTCGTTCTTATAGATTTTATTAATTTCTATGTTATATTTTCTTATTGACTCGTCAGGTACTGTGAGGATGACCTCCAGGTGAACATAAGGAAACTCTAAGAAGCACCGAAAGAACCGAAGACATTCCATCCAATCATCTTTTGAAAGAATATTCCAGAATGTCCGATTGGACAAATATTAAAAACTACTGTACATATATTGGATTATTGTAATGATGATTTCATTTTTACTATAAAAAAAACAACTATAAAGATCTGAGAGTTTTGTACCATCTATGATACGTTCCCTCACACATTCGTCTTCTGTCTTCTAACTTGAGATTTGAAGGAATCTAAGGTTCGATTACTCAAGTATCTACAGTGTCTTTCATTCTATTTCATAGTCAGTTTTCTTTCTACACTTACTTACTTTGATATCAATAAAAAGGAATCCATTGAATAGATCAATGCTTAATAAGAAGATAGATGAACAAACAGCTTAAAGAATTCTTTATCAAGATCGTCTAATTATTATTTTTAAACTGTGATTGAATGTAATAGTTGGATTCATGAGTCAATTCAAGCTAGACTAACATAGAAAACCTGGGAGCACTGGACGACTGTCTTGTCCTAATGTGGGACCCGTCAACAGTGCGCATCTACAATCTTGCCCCACGGGATTCGGATCCAGAACCTATTGGTCTTGCATGTGAACGCTTAACATCTAGACCACTGACCCGACCGGGATCCAATGATGTTAATGTCTAACTTCAACCAATTCACGTAATTGCGCCACCGTCTACCATTGTCTTTAGTGAGTTACTGCCTCACAACAGACGTGATTGAATTCTACTGATCACGGCTTTTCAGTTGAATTGACTCTTGAATTCAACTATTAAATTACCATAATATCCACAAAACCCCCTCTGAAACATCTAGTTATATTATCAGAAGAGGGTTTTTGTGGATATTATAGTAATTTCAATAGTTGACATCGTGAGACATTTGAAGCTGGATCATCATGGAAAACATGGAAGCGCTAGCGCGCGGGAACGATAGGTCATGGGTTTGAATTTCGCGAGGCGGGATCGTGGATGTGAACTGGTAAGGAGTCCAACAGTATGAAGAAATGGACTTCCAGTGCTTCCAGGTTTTCTATGTTGGTCCAATTGACTCCAATTGACTCATAATTTCGACTATTTATTTATTTATTTTAACACATAGATATTGGTACAAAGAGGCACCAAATACATATGCACCACACAAACCTCATTCGATATGTGTGAGGGCTGTGATACTGAGCGGGTACCCAAACCGAAGGTGTACTCTCTATTGAAATAGGTTAAAAATGAATATTGATCATAAATAAAAACTATAAAATAAAGAAACACCTCTGACATTTCATTACTTTGTGATAAAGTACTATTTTCCTTGAGTTTATAAAACTGCTCGTCTTTCAATACAATAAGTTAAGATAGCGCCCGTAGACGGATACGAGTAGACTATACAACCGCTCATGATTAGCACTATCATTTGAGTTCATATTTATTCATATGCCTAAAAGTGTCAGCATAGCACCAAATGAATTAAATACCAGATAACTAAAGCATGAGTCCTAGACTAAACTTCCAACTTAATAGTACAGAAGTGTAAGATGATAGTTGGAGGTAGTTGATAAGAAACCCTGAACCTAGGTTTCGTGCTATTTCGCACTCCTCAGCAAAGGACTGATGTTTCCTGACGGATTTGACCTCATGTCACCCAGCTTCACAATCAGAGACTCTACTATTGGTCTATCCGTGCTGCCACTGACCTCCTGTAGGGCTGAGATGTATTTATGATTGATTGGTCACTGGGTGGTGATCATTGTCATGTGTGTCAGGTTCTTCTTAGTGCAGATTGAATCCTATCGACAAAGTTGCAATATGGCCATTAGTCTAGGTGACTCGATATCGGGTGCACCTCCAACCACCATCTCATCTCAACATAGTGCATGTAATGTCAAGTCAACCCTCTTCCTTTATCTGGGCTTGGGATCGGTAGTAACTCTAGAAGAGCTATAGGCGGATTGCTGGTGGGCGGCCGATGCTCCTCTACGAGGAGTAACCGGTGTAAGTAAGTGGTTGGTTTATTATAATCAATTATGATACTGATTACTAATTAGTAATCAATTTGTATAGCTTTACATTTTCTCTGTTCTTCTTCACTATTATCACTGTACCATTCCGATTAATGCCAAATTCTTTGAATAAGATGTACCAAAGTTCAAATCTGTCTATGATGGGATTCTGTAGGTTCTGTAGTCAAGCAAATATCTATCTACATTTAAAGAATAATCATGAAAGATTTATATCTAGAGCTTAGATCTGAAAGATTGTTAACCTAGTCAAAAATTGAATCGAATTAACCGAATACATTGTCTTTCACTGTAACTTAGTGAGTTTGTTGCTGATGTTGAAAACATCCTTGAAGCATCTATGTTGATAAGCTTAGTGTATAATGAGTTGGCGTTTAACGCGAGCTAAGCCAGGTTCAAGTCTCATTGTAGACAGTAACACTGCAATACGGATACACTTAAATGATGAATCCCAAAAATGGGACAGAACGCTTATTTTGGATTCCACTTTTAAGCACAGATCCTCTGCTAGATCCGACCGAGGAATAAATGAATGGTAACAAATGGAAATTATTTATGGACTATTGTTACATATATTCTTAGTGTATAATCATAGAGTAACTATGTTGTAACTATGTTTCTTCTGGTAGTTGACTTGATTATGAAGACCTTGATATCTGACGGAAAGCACGGAATACAATGGAAAGCTCGGAATCAATTAAAAGATTCGGACTTCGCAGATGAACTAACCCATCTACCACATACACACGAGCAACTCGTGTAGTAGTAGCCTATGCATCAGTAGGCCTCAGTTTACGCAAAGGAAAAACCAAGATC